TCCTGCACGAGCCCCATCCTACAGAATGGGAGCGCCGTTCCCATTTGTTGCAGTGGGGAGCTGCCCTGTGGATTGCACCAACAATCTTAAGCTTGAAGCCTGAATGAGGGACATTTTGTGTGCGTGTGTGTGTGCTGCGCGCGTGTGCCGAGGAAGGATCTGATGACTTCCATTTTCTCAGAGAGAGAGAGAGTAATCTCTGGTGCATCTTGAAATCTGCTTTTTGCTCGCCGCCATCACATTTAATTAATTCTCCAGCGCCTGCCTGCCTCCTTTTCAAGTCAGCTGAAAAACTGTAGACTTCGCCCGCTGTCGAAACGTCTCTTTCTCTTCCTCTCCCCCTCCCCCTTTTTTGCTTTCTTGACATCCAGCCTTGGTTAAGGGTTCGGAGGAACTCAGACGCTTGCTGAATACCTCGCGACAATTTCATTAGTTCTAATTTTAAAAAAGGTGTTACACCGCTCTTGGTCTTTTTGGAATTTCCCCCTCTTCGGTTCCAGTCTGTAGCCCGGCAGAACCGAATGGCTTGTGTAGCTTGTAGAATAATTGCAGGAAACACGGTGGAGTGCTTCTGAAAGGAAAGGGAGCAACTAAGCCTGGAGCATGTCTTTAAAATAAAATAAATCCAGTGACCCGTCCGTCAGCCCCTTTTGCCTCCGAGCGTCTTTGTGGAGTCCTCTTGAGTTTCTCCTCACTCAGCTTTCCTGAAGAGGGCAGTGTTGGGCCAGAAGTGCGCTCGAGTGGCTTCCTATAGGAAAACCAGCTTTTTTGGTCACCGGAGTGTACTTGTTTTCTGGTCTAGGTTTTCATTTGTCTCCGTGTGTGAAGAGAGAGATCGAGAATGAGAAAGAGAGACAACCTGTGTTTGTAATCAACAAACCCTTTTGCTTTCCGTTAAGAAGGCATCCTGGTTTGGAGCTCGCAGTCCACTTTTAGTACATCCAGTTCCCCGGGAGAACTGAGACTGCACCCAGGAACCTTTTGAGGCACTGAAAAGTGGTCCTGGGCTGTCAGTAGTCAGCCTTGGCAAAAACCACCAGAGACACCGGACTGACGTCCTTTGGAGTGATGAGAAGATCTCTAGCCAGCCCGGGGGGGGGGGGGGGCTTGGCAGGTGATCTAGGGAGCAGCCTTCTGCATCCCAAATAAGAGTGCCCCCCACCCATCTCATGTTTTTGGATGGCTAGCTAACATGCCATCCAAGGCAGGAGGAGGAGGCCGAACCTTTCAGGGCCAGGGAGCTCTTTGGACCTTTCTGATGTGGCTGGAAGACGTCTCGCAGAGCAGTTAGTTCATCCCTCATTCTGTTGCTTTAAGTTACGTCTCCTTCATTGGGTTCGTCTGGTATCAGGGTGAGTGCCGGATAAGGTAGCGTTTGGCTGTCAGATTAGTGGGGCCAAAACGTTTTCAGATCCCATCGATCCCGTTGGGGTCTTAAAGCGAATTCTCGGTGGTTTGCTTCCTTCCTTGCATCTTGGCAGCAAAGGAACGCCCAGGGTGGAGAAGTGCTTTCAGATAGGGCTGAGTGTTTTCTAACTTCTCTCTGTGTGTTAGGTGTTAGGTGCTGCCAAGTCACTTTCAGCAAAAGCTATAAATTAATGACCTCCAAAACGGTCCTGCCTCTTAACAGCCCTGCTCACGTCTTGGAAACCGAGGGGCGTGCCTTCCTTGATTGAGTCCATCCATCACTTATTGGCTCTTCCTCTTTTCCTGTTGCCTTCAACTGTTCCTAGTATTATTGACTTCTCCAGTG